ATTCTGCAATCAGAATCTGCACTTTTTGAATGTAACTAACTGAAGATTCCAGTGTAAGACACTGACAAATATGTGATAAAAGAAAAAATGCAGCACTAGCTTTAGTATATAAACAATAGAGGAGTGCAAACTACAGCACAGTACACCGGCCTCTATGAATTAAAGCACCTTTCTTGAAGAGAACTATTTTCCCAGAGCTCTACACCAAAATGCAGAATTGTCTCAGCATAATTAACCTGCTCTGTGACAGTCAGACTACATAAATACTTAATTTACAACTTACATCTTCACAGGCTGTGTTGCTTGACCTCTATCCTTTTCTATCTAACAGCAACCGAAGCTCTGCTTCAAGGCTGTAAATCTCAAGAGAGAGAGGATTTTAAAAAGGATGTGTATTGTCAGATTTTCAAAAGTGCAGAGCAGGCCTTGGAACACTGCTATTTTTCTCCTCTAGGGAAAGACAAACAGCAAGACAGAAGCTGGTCTTTATTTATATAACATTTCCAGTTCCCTAAAGAAAGCTGAGAATTCTGCCCATTTCCTCAGGACTGAGGACAAATAGAAAAGCATGAGTATGAGTTCCTCAGTTTTTGAAGAGATAAAATTAAAAGATGACAACAAAATAACACTGAATAAAATTACAAAAGAGCCCCAACTTGAGTATAAAACTAGGTATCTAAATGCTACACAAAGGCTTACTGATCATGGCACAAAACTACAGACAGTTCCTAGCAGGTAAAGGAAATTAAAGATTTCAAAGCTGAGTTCTTTGAAAGAAGTCTATCATTCAAATATGCAAAAGTAAAAATCCTTAGCTCAGAACCCTCAAAAAAAAACATGAGGAACAGCATAGCCTAAGGCAAGATGTAAATGACTCCTATTTAAAAGTAAACAGCACTTTTACACTCTACACTAGATCCCATGATGTGAGAAAAAGTAAAGGGCAGAAAAGACTGTATGTAATTGCCAAATTGCATTTGGCAAGTAGTATTCCAGAGTGTAAAACAAAACGGAGCATTAAACTGTGGTATTGAAGCTGCTGTTGTTGCATTATGGGGATGGAGGCATGGGCCATTAAGTTCATTAAATGAGTCAGGATTTATTGTACATGTATAGTCAACTATATATCAAGTCTACCTTTGTGCTTTTATACATCTGCATTAAAAATGGCCCACTTATAAGAACAGTCATTTATTTCATACTCTTCCTACGTTTCTAATAATGTTCCTTGTTTAATGTCTGCCTGTGAAAAAGTAATTTCTTGTCTGGCAACTACAGTTATGAAAATTTCTATTTGCTTACTCTGCATCACAGGTGAAACATATTTTAGAGCCAAGTAACCCTCCAATGAAGAGCCTTTGGGAAAAGATTTCTTTCTCAAAATCAACAGACTTAAAGACTGTTACAATATATTTCTTTTGACTTTACCTAACCTAGGCTTTTAAATTTGTCCCTCATCAGGAGTGTAGAACATGCTCCTTCATGAAAGAGAAAGCCAAACAGTCCCGCTAAAGGCAATCAATTTTGTTACTAAATCACTGGTGTGAGACTATCTTCCACAGTAGTAAGGAAGCGATTCCCATTTGTAGCCTTATCACGACCAGCTTGCACTACTCCATAAGCAACAATAACAAGGAACAATACTGGAATAATAAAGCTATACTAATATAGATGTGTAAAAAAGAGGTCACAGAATTTTCCCTCCCAGTTTTAAGAAAATCTATGGTAATGGAAGCCAAGCTTAAGAAAAGGTTTGTCTGTAATGTCAACATCGCTGTTATTTTATGTGCACAATGAAGAGACCAAGTAGACCCACAAAGTTTCATAGTTAAGATTTTTAACTCTTGCAGTCAACTTTGAAATTACTATAAAAATTAGCAAATTCTCATTCCATGTACTGCACTAAATTGATTTCATTAAGATAGCATTTAAAAACTGCATTCAAACACGACAAAAAAGTAAAATTGAAAATTCATATTCTCTGCCATCAAATCTGACAGGTTTCTGCTATAAAACTCCAGACTACATGAAGAAAGGCCAAAATGTGAGGAGAAAATGAAAAAGTTCATTTTAGATGAAGAAAATATCCTAACTTCAAGCGAATTGAGTTATTTTTAAAAGCTTTTCTATGCAAAACTCCCACCCTGATATGAAGGGCACGTGAGCAGGTAGGTGATGTCAGCACAGCACTGCCTGCTACCGTAGAAGGTCCACAACCTCCTGTGCATCTGTGTTAAATCCACACCCCCTGAAGCAAATTTTTAAACTATTCAGTACACTGTATGATCATATAATAAAATGTTTTGCAGTGTCCCAGTTTTATTGTTGGATAACAGTTTCTCTTATTTTAGCTTGGCTTTCGTGAAGCCTTTTGGCCCAGTCCAAAGCACATGAATGTGGCCTTTAGTGTTACAAGGAAAAAGAGTGAACTGCTCTCATGAAAAGAAGATATAAAAGCTTTCTTAAAAACATGCTTATGTAATTTTCTTTGCCACCACAGAGAATAACAGTTTCAGTGTTGCTGAAGAGATTACAATGGCCAGAACATAGATTTACAGTAAAAGGGAACTGTTCCTCAACACATCAAACACATTGTTGAAGCACCAGTTCAGAAGTCAATAGTAACAAACATCATATGTATCTACCAGCCACCTTATCTTGAACACAATAAGCAATGTGAAAAAGTGATTAACTCTCTTCTGTTGCTACAATGAGTACATTTGCTTGATACTACCTTGACCTGTAAGAACTCAAGTGCTTTATTCCCGCTTGCACATGACAATGAAAACTAAGTATACATAAAAATTTGGTAACAACATTCTGCCTACCTGCCACAATGCTTCACAATAAAACAGCAGCACAAACCCTCTCTTTTTCAAGAACATTTGGTAAGACCCCAAGATCAGTAAAACTTGAAGAAAAACTTCAAATATTGACCATAAATGTGTATATAACAACATTTCAAGCATGACAACAGAACAATGATATACTTTATGGTACCACATCAACAAAAATACAATCCAAAGAACATATGAACAAATAACGATGTTTTCATATGCATTAAACTTCCAGATGCAGGAATTATGTTTATAAGTCACATGCATGCACAGCTAGAAATCACATTCCTTCTTTTTGGGCAGTAGCTGTACTCTAACTAAAAATGTTTATATGATTTCCTTGGCTGATGTGGAGAGTACACAATGTTGAATCAACATGCCAAAACAAGACATCATTCCTGTATCAGACAATCCCCTGATAATGCAACAGTATCCCTAAAAAAGATTTGGGGTTACAAGTGCGGAGAAAATCATCATTCTTTGTCTTTTAACATTTCCTTTGTCAATGAACTTTCTGTCATATCCTTTCTAAAGACAATGATTGATATGAGAAACTATGAGCAAAAGGGAAAATAACAAAAACTGTAAATGAAATAATGTAAAATATCAAAATAGTTATCAGATTTCCTAAAGATCCAAAACTAAAGGAGGAAAGTTATCAGGTAAATAAAATTGAGTCCCAATTAAAACTAACATGAGACCAATCGCAGTAATAGGTCTTACACTGCTGTAGAAACAAAATGTTTACAGATAAATAGAATTGGAATGTAACATTTTCTCAATGAGTTACAAGTATGAGAGAGCTCTTTCTTCATTTGCAAAATAGAAACAGATACATGCTACCTCTTTCCTTTTGTAGTTGGTTTTTTTTTTTTTTTTTTTTTTACAGCAATCTTGTGTCAACGCTTGATCTTCTTCAAAACAAATTATTTATGTTGAGCTTGGCCCCAAATCAGTGAATTAAAATACAAAATAGTAGTCTCAAGATAAAAGAATGCTGTATTTTGGAAAAGCAGGGTTACACTGAATGAGCTAAATATGAAGATTTCTATATTATTACATGAAGTACAAAAGAAATAAAGCATACAAGAGCCATAATACTGTTTATATTACAACTTAAATTAACTTTTCCATTTATTATCAGAGATCCTTTTCTACAATATAGAATACAAAGGGGGACCTACAATTTTGCTCTGATATTTGGAATAGGTTTTTTTTTTGGGGGGGGCAATGTATCAGATTAGCTAATACAATATTGTTTCTACAAATGAAAACTTCTTCAGTCATTTATATCACATTGCAATAGTTTTATTTTGAGAATATTTCACACCTTAGTTACTTTGTTGAAATGAGTTGAGACTTCTGTTTAAGGAGATCTCTTCACCCAACAGAAGAAATAATAGTACCCTCTTTCTGAGTAATATAATGGCCTTTCTGAGATCACAGTTGTACTACAATGTATTATAAATATCTAGCTTTAAAAATTGATTTAATTTCACACTAGCCTAAAAAGATTCCAAGCCAAGGTATTCAGCATAGTAACTGTATATTGTACTTGTCAAGAATAATTTTGCATTTTAAATTGTTCTGTAAGGATTCAATGTGCAAACCCCTTAGAGTCAGCAGATTTCATCTGGCATTGAATGGATACTAAAACGGATCTCTGAATGAATAATTCTCAAAAGTACAAAGTATTATCTTTTACTGTATAATTATAAAATCATTACAGATTTGTAATTGAAATCATTCATTGACAATTTTTTAAAAAAACAGCTACATGTTAATAATACTGAATTTATGCTTCATTTTAGAATTTATCCTTCCTCACAATATGAGAAACTACACAATGGAATGAAATTCTGTTCCTTTAGAAACCCATAGCCAGTTTTGACTGACTTCAGAATGTCAGAGCTTGATTTGTTGTCTGTCTGAACTATATTAGTTAGCTTATTGGAGCTGAAAGAGTGGTATAGAACATCATATACATTTTAAAATTGCACTTTCTGCATTATTCTGATGTTATACAATGTTTAATTTCATGACTTCTCTGAAATTAAAATGAATGACATGCAATAAAAAAAAGAATTCAAAGTGCTTAGCTGTTTGACTTCTCCAATTCTTTAAGATTTCAATTTCAGGATGAAGTGGGGAACAGGAACTTACCTACTTGGTACTTTGGGTAATAAGGTGCCATTTGTCCACTACTGCATGATTGTCTCTTATGCCTTTTTCTTAAATTTGTATCAGTGGTCTCCCATTGTGGACTTTTTCTTTTGTTTATTCTGATAAGAACTTCAGAACTACCAGCAGGATTATCGTCCTGGTTTATACTACTACTTAACTTTCTGCTGTGAAACTGGTCATCCAGCCTTTCAGTCACTTTAGAAGAATTAGATCCTTTAGATGTTTCCATTTCATTTTCTTGTTTCTTTAATGCATTTTGCTTAGTAGAATGGGACCTTAAAAGAGGATGTCTTTTTTCTTCCATATAGGCCTGAGTGCTTTTACTGTCAACAGTTTCAGAAGAATAAAGGACATTATTTAGCTTAAATGAATTGTGCTGCTCAATATGGTTGATTTTTCTCAGAAATATCCTACAGTCTTTAAAGGTTTTGGCTTTCCAAGTATTTTGAAACAGTTTATCTTGGCTTTGTTCTTTTCTAACATTTTGCTGGCAACAAATTGTTCCATTTGTCTCTGAATGTGACTTAAGTATATTTGCTATACCAGGATGTGGGTTAAAGTCAGAAGATCCCATCATCTGTTGAACAAATGCATCTCTGGCTTCATTTTCAGTTGGCAAGAGGCTATTCTGAGACTCTACCAAAGTCTGAGCAGGCTGGATTTCTAGCATATTTTTTTCCTGGAGCTTGGGTGTTTCATCATCGGTTTCCCCACTTGTACTTTTAAACAATTGGCTTTGGCAAAATAACTGCAAATTTTTCTTTTTTGATTTCCAGCCTCCAGGAGCTGCATTATAGAGCTTTTTTGTTTGTCCCCACCTATCATGCTGCAACTTTTTAAATTCATTTCTTTTTAATCTGGCTAATGTGAAATTACTTTTCATGCTTAAGACTGGAGACCTCACCATGTTATGCAATATTTGCAATTTCCCTGCTGGTTTTGAAGGGGAGGATAGTGCAAACTTTTTAAAGTGCTTTCTGAAAGGGCAAGTACTAGGATCAGATTGTTTAGTTTCAGTCTTTGTCTCTCTAGTACTAACTACTTCTAAGGGATTGCGAGCATTTGCCTTTCTCACTAAAGAGAGAGACTGTGTTTCTGTAGTTTGCATAAACCAGGTGCAGAGTTCATTCATATTACACTTTTTCTGGAAAAGCATTTTTACAGGTGATGTTTCAAGTTCTACAAGGCAGGAGTCTAAAGGATTTGACATTTCAGTATTACAGTCTTGTTCAATGGGATCCCTTTTTTCACATACACATTTTTCAAACTCACTTCCCCCCACACGCAACCAGGTATTAGTTATCTGTTCAAATCTATTATTTAGTTCTTCCAACAAAGTGTCACTTGAAGTGGAAGTAGGCCACCACCTGAGAGAGGGATTTGATGAAAATATGGGATCTGATGATACTTCATTAATGTGCCCGAATTCACCATCCTTAAGATCCTTTTTAGCATTTCCTGAATTTCTCAGCTCTGAGGTATCTTTGGATGCTGTGCTCTGATTTGATTGGGCATGTTTTTCCTTTTGCTCTTTAGCTTTTTTCAAATGGAGTTTATAAGATTTATGTAGTAAGGCACTTCTACAAGTAAATGCACTAGAAGATGCTAATGAATGTAAAAAATGCAGTGAGGGTTTTCTGTCTCTGGCAGAATGTCTTGATGGCATTTCACGTTTTCTTGACATTGCTGTAGTAACATTGGGTGATCCATCCTCTCTAGAATCTTTCTGCACTTGGCCCATATTATTGCACAGTTGATTTTTTCTCTCCTGTGGTATGGTTTTTTCTAACACATTCTGCTGTTGTAAAGGAGGCAAACCGTTGCTAATGCTCACTTTTCTTTCCTGAGGTGAAAGTCTACTAACAGTCACTAATATGCCAGAAATTTTTACTTTTGCTGGCCTACCAGGTTTTCGAACGGTGGTTAATGGTTTCTTAATCTGCCGTATGACATTGCTGCAAGGATGTGGCGATGCTGGGTTACTCTTGATAGGTCTGACATAGTCATAACCAGAGACCTCCTCCTTTTCAGTAGAAGGATTTTGAAAGGCTTTTACTATTTCAGTCAAAGAATTTCCAGTTTCTGTATTGTGCTTCACTTTGCTGGGGTCATTGGCAAAATCAGAATCATTATGTTGTGTGGGCAGCTTGCTAATTACATTTAGATTACCTTCAGAAACATGTCTCTTCGTTCTTCTTGACCTTCCAAAAACAACTGTCACAGTAATATTTTTGTTGCTGTTAGCTTCTTCCATTACTGCTGCATCAGACTTGTTGCTTTTACCACCACTGCTAAGTTCAGGTCTAGCTTTTGTGCTTCCATTCATATCCATTTTTGGTTTTGGAGGCCGTCCAATAGGTCTCTTAACCTGCTTAACTACCTGAGGACCTATTTTCTTTGGTCTACCAGGTTTTCTTTTTAAAACCAATTCACTGCTACTGCTTGATTTCTCTACAACTTCATCATTTTTTTTCAAATCATTTACGTTAGCCTGACCAACTGGACAAGAGCTTGTAATTGCTTCTGCATAAACACAACTTGACTCCTCCTTGGTATCATTTTCACTGTAATCACAGTCCTTAACACAGACTGCATGAGAAAGGTCTCCTGTGGCCTGTTTGTCTAACAAAGTGTTCATGTGCCCTTGAAACAAACACAGATCTGTGCTTCCTTTAGGAGATGCAGTTGCAGATGTCAAAGTGTATTTGACTCCTTCATGACTATTGACCTCTGAAACAAACATAAGCTTAATAGGACTAGAGTAGTTTAAGGGAGATGAGATCTCCCCAGCTTCAGGTGTTGCTTGCAAGTCCCCATTACTGGAAGTTGAGCTGGATGAACTAAAGGTCAGAGATTTCAAAAGGCCGTCATTAATTTCTTGATCTATAACCATTTCTTGTTGGTTTGTTGTGACACAAATTGCTCTGATTTTACTGCTGCTTGGCACATGTGGATGTGAGAGGAAGCTTTGTCCTGTGCATCCCGTTTCACTTAGAGTAAAGGGTAAGCCCCTTCTAGCAACTGGGTTCATAACCTGTTCATAAGCATTATCTTTTAATTTTTGGCTTATTTTGTAACTATCCAATAATGAGTTGTTACTCCTGGCTAAGTTTAATGTATCTTCTAAACGCTCCACAACAACTTGCAGATTTGTGTCTCTCACAATTTTGCTTATATTTATGTCACTACATCTTTCAACATCTTTATTTATTTTAATGTTTTCCAAACTTTCTAAAGACTTTTTTGCACTGGATGACTTTCTAAACATGACATTGTTTGTTACATACACAGAGTACCATCCAGGAGGCACAATGTTACGTTTAGTTCTGCCCAAGATTTCATTATTCTCATCCTTTAGAGAAATCTGACCAGTCTCTTTTAAGGGTGCACCATCTCCTTGTGTATTCGGGAGTTTTGCCTGGCTGGCTGCAATAGCACTGTTTTCTGAAAGAACTAAAAAGCCAGAACTGGTTTGAAAATTAGTAAGAGGTAGTTTGAAAGACTCTGTTTGGTGTACTGGAAAGCACATTGGTTTGGTTTGGCAATTCACACATGGGTTACTTTCAAGATGTTGCAAAGCCTCATCTTCTATCACAGTAAAACGATGTCTTTTATTTGGATGTATTTTATCAATTTTTTTTGTAGATTTTTTTGCATTTCTCTCAGAAATTGACTTTTTTCTTACAAGAGTTTCATCAAGGCTTGCAAGCTCCCTCTTGATTTGCAAAGACTGTCGTCGAATGACTGGTGAATCAGGAGAATTATATGTTGCAAATAAAGTTTCCTGACGCTTGCGAAATCTTGTCTGGATAATTTTATTTTCCATTTGTTTATCGTGTTGGCGAAGTAATTCCATAAAGCTGTAATCACTTGCCTTGGCATTATGCAAAAGAGACGTTACGAAGTCTCCTAACTTGACATCGTTTTCTGGTGCCCTGTCACTGCTAGAAAGTTTTACAAGATTTGTTGCTATATCTGTAGTGTCTATTGATTTCAGCTTTTCATTAATGCGGTCCATTAAACCTTGAAAAATGGCAGAATGTTCACCTTGCTCAGACTTCTCAGAACTAATGTAATCATCACTGCTTTGGGGGTCTGTTGATATCCATGTTCCATCTGAACATTCGGTCTCTTTCCCTTTGCATGTTTTACTTCCATATTCAAATTCTTCTTTGCTTCCTTCAGCTGGCAAGAGGGACGGAGGCTGGTTGATGGATATTTCAAGCTTGTTGTTGTCCAAAGTCGGAAAATCCATAACCGATCCTTCCAATGATTCAAATTCTTTGCTGTGTACAGGTGACAGTGGAGGTGGTGATGGGCTGCGAGATCTATTTGCATTTTTAATGCCGCTTAGGAGATCACAGTCCTTAGCTGAGTATGTACATGCTGCTGCTTTCACAGAATGCCTGTTATAATTTTGCAATTGGTCAGCACAATACTTAGGAGAACTACATGCTTTGTTCACCATTGTCTTAATACATCCAATCGTTACAGCTTGGCATGACAAAGAAGGGAAATCTTTAATACAAACAGAGAGAGGTGGTAAACAAGTGTTTGGCCTTTGATTTTGTAAACAGCACCTTTTCGTCAGCACATGTCCATCGCAATTGCAAAATGAAATGTGAACATCCTCTTCAGTAAGGGAACTGGGAGTTTCAGAGTGGACCAAATGTGTTTGCTTGCAACTGCAAACTATAGGAACATTCTCATCTTGTATTAAAAATTTTAACATAGCCAGAGTCTGTTGCCAGTGATATGAACAAAAAGACTCCAAAACTTTGTTTAATGTTGATTTTCCTTTCTCCAAATTAGCTGTTTCCTCTGAATTTGCATCAGCTGTTGAGCTTGAACTGAAAATGAAAACAAATCAAAACAAAATATAAATTACAGTAAAACACCACATCTAATGGTTGTTATAATGGTTAAACTCAAACCTAAAAACCTGAAGTTTACAAAACAGTTCTGCTCTATTTGCACTATTCAATCACACTTGCAAGTGTCACTAGCAATGATGTGCACCTTATCTTGTCAGTGACAACACTACCTTTAAGAAAAATAACCAGGAAGAAATTAGGGGCAAAAAGAACTATATCTATAATTACAATAATGTTAACTTTCTGATATTTCAAACTATTTTAGCCGTTAATGAAGGAAAATCTCACCAAGAACCTGGTGAGCTTCGTATTGCTCCCATTTCACTAACTGAGGCACAGAGAAGGTAAATGACTAAGGTCAAGGTTGTGGCAGAAGAAAGAATGGATCCATCTCTCCCAAATCCCACTCTTAGATATTTAAATATCCAAGTGTATTGAGTGCTTTTCAGGATATAACTTGAAGATATTTATAAGGACATTTTTATTTCTAGATTTATTTTTAAAGAATACCTAACAAGCTAACAGAAAATGGGAAAAACAGCCACTTGCTACTGTTATTGTTCTTTGAAGGTAAAAATTTGACTTCCAGTTTTCAAATAAATTGCAGTGGTGCATCACAGGCTCTTCATTGTAATATATTACACACACACACACACACACACACGCACACGCACACACATACAGAGATTCCTTCATTAAACAAAAACAGAGATAATTACCATTGGAATAAGTAACTTCTGTGATAAAGATTAATATCCCTTAAATCTCAAATGCAGGGTAGGCCTATATCTAGACAGGACTTTTGAGCAGTTGTTCTCAAAGATATTAACTAAAAATAAAATAACTTATAAAATACTATCTTAACTATTTAATCAATTTCTTATAAATTATTAAAACTAATGTCACTACTTACCTAATCAATCATTTATATTGAAAAGCTGAAAATTTTCCATGGTAGAAATTAATACAGGTATTTCTTCAATTAAATACAAAATCCTTATGCTGGATAGCAACTATCAACAGATAGTTAACACCTAGTTCAAATGTTTTACTGAAACCAATTGCATGAGCAGAAAATGTTAGAAGAATTCTGTTTTAGAAAAGTATGTATTATTTAAACATATCACCAAACTCTGAACATGACACTAACTTTTTTTCCTATTATCCCCTGTAATTTTTTTGCATTTAAGCCTATACTTTGAAAAAATTTCATTTTGATTTGGTTTACAACTATATTGATCAATGAACAAACATATTTAAAATTTAATGCACTGTATTTATATAAAGTTACCTATTCATTAATTAACACATACTCAGAATTATTATATCACTAATAACTTTTAGCTCTAAGTTTCTTACTAGAAATTATTACACACAAATTTGTATTGTTATTGTCCTATGCAGATTTTAAAGTTTAGAGCTTAAAAACAGCCAACTCTACATAATAATTCTTTGTGTTTTTTCCTTCTCCTATAACATTCAGTATGAAATGGTATATATTCAAAATCAAGCATCTACGTGATACTAACTCGTAAAAGTGCAAGATAATTGTGCTGGTATTAGTTGAAATTGTGATTATGTTTAAACTGAAATAATTAAGTCTTAAAATCCTCTTTGAACCTGCAATCTAAAGTAGAAACAACATTATTCAACAGAATGTCATTGCCAGGATTTAACTGTTTTTGCAGTACCACTACTCTTCTGAATCTGACTTCAACTAATTCAGGAGTCGCAAGGTGCTGAAACGTATCAACACTTGTGAAAACAAAGCTTATTCTAGCAATACAATAAAGGACAAAAGGATAAAGGATAAAAGCTAACTGCCTTCCCCACCACCATGACTTTAATTAAACAATGTTTTGAAAGGCCAACTAGAAAAATTTATATAGCACCATGTCTTCATCTTCAATATTTCGTTTGTATACCAAGAGTAAATTTTTTAAGTACTAATTTGCTAAAAAGATAGCTACAGTAGTCTTTTTTTGGACTGAATCTTTAAACAGGTACCTTTCTGTCTTTCTAGACTTTCAAGGTAGGTCTGTAGTTTCACTGGAGAACTTTAATTGTAGAGAACCTGTATCCATAACTGCTACTTAAAGTCTGTTCAGTGTCTGGAACCCTATAACCTTCTCAAAGTCAGTAACCAAAATTTCCACAGACTTTCCACAAACTGTTTTGCATTTGCTAAGTGAAGATCAACTTGTATAAAGGAATATCCTGGTTATCACAGACATACTGGACATTCCTCTAAAACAATTTCTTTCCTCGTTATCTACCCCTGTGTAATGTCTATGACCTGCTTTCCCTTAGCGTGAGTTAGTTTGTAAAGCTGATAGACAACTTAACTTCACCTATTACAATAGCACCACATTCCAAATGATCTTCCAAGTTTGTGGAAACACATCAAGCCCTTACTCAATCACCATCTGGGAGCAGAGCTTACAACACAAAGCATTAAAGCAATACATTTTCCCTGAAATGTCTTTCTGAAGAGATGTCAATATTTTTAAGCAAACTAATATTTAGTAGCTTTTCAATAAAACTATGGAATTATGCTTCAGTCTCTTGCAATTCCTTCCTACAGCTCTTTAAATCTGCATTGGCACACAGCAGTTTAGACTATCCTCAGGATATAAGGCTTAAACAGTAATTTCATAGAAGGAAGAGCTATCACTTTCACAACTGCATGCTTCCTTCACAGAACTGTCTTACATCTCCTCCAAACCACAGACAGAAAGATGGCTGGAGAGTGTGGGACGGAAAGGGAGGGGTTGGGGTGAGAGGGCCAATATGCACTGCTCCCCCCGTACCTTTGTGCAAGGCATCACTGCAGACAAAGGTAAAGCATGGAATGACACTATTTCCTTTCTAGAGGACAGAGGCAGTTAGTGACAAGGAGTGGGGACTGGCTGGAGTCCAAAACTGGCACAAAGGTTCATGATAAGGTTCATCACCTGCCTTTCAACGTATTATTTTATGTATAAAGGCAGTAAAACTTTGCCTCCTCCACAAAAACTATCAGGAAAGAGCTCTACCAGAGGACTACCAGAGGAGGTCCTTCCCTAGAGGTATGTCTTCTGTCATCTCAAGACAGAGATAAGATAGATGAATCTAGCAAGTTCTCTACAGACTGGGAACAGGAACAAAAAACATACTTTCAAGTACTCATACGAACGGCATAAACTATTATGGAAATATGAATCTGTCTTACAGAAATGTTTGTTTTCTGACTTTACTAAGTAAGTAAATACCTAAAAAAAGCTATATGTTATCTGTAATGTATAATTTTTAGCTGCAAACTAAAGAGGGTAACTGTTAGAAAATTAGTTCTCTGAATTTCTTCTCATTAATGAGCAATGAATCAATCTGAGAAAAGAAACCATCCTTAAAGCTGCTATTTCTGATGAAATTCTCATAGCAAGTTAGTCATTATGTGCTTAATTGGTACAGTTCTTGATCTTATGCCACTGCTAATAAACTTGTGCCTCAGGAATAAGTCAAATAAGTCAGTGTACAGGTTTTTGTTTCTTTCTTATTTTTTTACTGAATGAGCAAATCAATCACACATCAGTGTTGTAAATTTATGTGCAAAAGCATTGAAGTGCTTTACTACAAATTACAACGTAGAAACACGTTAACTAAACAATTAAATTCATACAATCAGATTTAGGAATATAACAACACAAAGAAGAAACAGAATTACAGTACATTTACAACACAAGACAAATACATGGAATTCATTAGAAAATATTGTAATAAATAATTCATGAATTATAGTGCAATTGATTTATGCATAAATATAACTAATTGCCTAAAAATCAGTTGTTAACAAAAATCTGTCAAAAATCAAGGCAGCCACAGAGTTTTACTAAATTACTGCGACAATGGAAATACTGCAATTAAAAAACAAATACAAGTATTTGTACTGTAAACAACTAAAAAAATCAGTCTCACTAAAGTTAATATACAATTTAATATAAAATTGTCATTAGCTACCAGAAATGGTTTAAACAGCTTTACTGAGCAGTAGTTCTAAAAACAGAGGCACTGTTTTTTAATATAAAATACTTGAGAAACATTCAAATAAGTAGAAAGCATGTAGGGCTTGCTTTCACCTTCATTTAAAAGTCTGCTGAAACAGGAATTTTCAGAAATTGTCAATTACTAAGTAGTGACTGGTAACTGAATTTATAAAACAGTTCAAAATGTATAATTTAAATGACAATTAATGAAATATATAGGGGTTGGGGAAGGAGAATTTACACATTTCCCTGCCTTTCCTTAGTTGTGTAATTAAAGGTTAGCCTAATAATTAGAAACAAATAATTCTGTTCTTTTAAACACTTACAGGTTGAGTATCATCTATAAACTATCAAAAAATATCTTAATTACTATTTCTGACCAAAAAATAAATACAAATACTAAAATGTTGAAAATTAATTATAATATTACATACAAAACTACTGAGTACTGTTAAGTCAATAGTAAAATGATCCCTGATTTTATGAATCCTGTTAAATTTTTGGTCAGGTCATCTTTTAAACGATATAAAAAGAGTACTGTTACTTGCCTTCAATATAAAGTTCTGACTCAAATTTCTAACTTTGTCTGAGGAGTAGAAAACATCAGTATGGTACAAATAGTAGGCAATGTATCGAAGCCCCAGATTTTTGCAAGTAAAACGGTATAAAGACAGATGTTGAAATGTTTACGTTTTTTCAACTGCATTTTTCAGTGGGGATATATTCACAAATTAATCCTTCTGGCCCTCCCTCACAAAATATGGCTTAATTCTTTTAAAACGAAAAGATGACCCTGACACCTGCTCTTCTGCAAACTCTTGATCAGGTACACTTCTGCCTAAAATCTTAGAATCATAGAATCTGCTGAGTTGGAAGGGACCCATCAGGATCATCGAGTCCAACTCCTGGCCCTGCACAGGACACCCCAAGAATCACACCATGTGCCTGAGAGATTCATTCTGTAATATGCAAGTAAACCTTAATGACTGAAGGAGATTCAGTGTAGATCTGAGAGACCAAAGAACTGAGATACTGGTTGTGCAGTTTCAGAGGATTATTCTGTTTTAAAATAGGAGTTATTTTTTAGTAGTGTTAATAGATATGGGCTAGATTTTGCCATCAGTATTGCAGTATGCTCTCCACTGAATTTAACGGCAAGTTTATCTATAAATAGAATTACCTGATGTGGCCCATATGTATCTAATGTACCAATTCATTTATATAATTAACCCATACACATGCAAATTTAAGTGGGGAAAAAAAATATGTGCATGTGTACCACACCTATAAAAGTTGAAGAAAAGTCTTTTTCTATGCCAAATTAGATGCATACAGAAAAAAACACATGTTAGGAGGAAAAGGGCATTGATGTTCAATAGTAAATGTATGAAGCAAGCCCCCCATTCATATGTAGACATATGCTTTTGATATTACATAAAAAAATTAAGTGTGATAAAAAGTCCAATGTAAATACTTTGAAATTTATGTAAAAACTGCAATTTGAAGGTAATTGGTCTCCCTTAAATTCTATTAAAAGTTACGTATTTAAAATGAACTAACTTCTAACTACCAAATTTATAAAGACTTTATATTATTGAAAGTTCAAAACAGCTTCACTGTTTAATATTTGTATTTCTATCAAGACCCTGAACTGCAAATTTGGTTATTAGCAAAATGATAATGTAACTTGGTATTCATTTTGATAAACTGAAAATGTTTTGAAATGTCACAGCAGCAAATACATTACAGTTACAGTGAGGTTTTTCAATAGGAGTGTGACACAATCCTTAAATAAATTTTAAGTAGTCATAACATCAACTAACCAGCACGTTTAAACAAAAAAACAAACAAACCCAAACCATTCTTAAGCTCATTCTGTGCACATTATGAACATGCTCTAAGTTGCATTCCATCTTTCTTTTTAAACCTTACAAGTTACCTTAATCGTCAAACTAAAAAGGAAAAATTATGTTAAAGTTTAAATTATTTTATGCTCTTAGTAATCCATCTTATTTCATATTTAATAATTCTATAACTACAGTAATTTCTCAGATTTCTTAAGTGTACACTTTGTAAACACCAATTTCTTTCTAAACAAACAACAAAATTTTCTTAAAATGATAAAAAAATGCAGTTTATGCCTGCTAAACACACATTTTTAGTAATGAAATGTTTTTCTTACTTGTATTGGATATTTAAGTAACGATAAACTTTTTTCTTTCACAGAATGTACTATATCCTACTAATACTTCACAAATCCACTTCCTTGTAAGGAACTAGCCTTTTTTTTTTTCTTTAAATCCATTGCTTTGTATAATCTGAGTTACTTACAATTTATTGCAAGTATTTTGTGAACTATAAAAGTCTGCTAACCCTTGGTTGTGTATTTCCATAATAAGATGGATAATTGAATGGGTAAAGTGGTTCTCCACCAATTAAAAATTATGCTTCACATGACAAATACTTCTTTTCCCAAAACATCTTTATGCTATTGACTACTAAATAAAACCTGAATCTTTTCACCTATTTATACAAGGATTATATTAAATACACACTATCAGAATTAAGTGAGCAACTCTATAATTCTGTCCACAGTGAAAACCCTGAATAAAACTATTTTTCAAAAGGCATGTATGTGGTTTTTGATCTGTATAGTTTCATGTCGTCTGTCAGAGTGAGCATATGTATTTCTCACATAGTGTGTGTATACAGACATACATACACACACACACAAAACAATTCTCTAACAATTATTCTACACAGGCTTGCTACTATTTTTGCAGCTGCCAGTCCCTGAATCTGTCATATTAAATAAGCCAGTATCTGGTAATCGGAGTTTCTTCTTCGGTGGAGTCTTCAATGTTCCAGATCTTTCTTTTACTTTATATTCTAAAGTGCTGTGAGGTACCCCATAAATTCCTTGTGCTTTGGAAACACTCATTTTCCCACTCATTACCATTGCAATTGCTTCTTCCATTATTTCGTGATCATACTGCCGATAGCGGCCACGTTTTTTTCTTGGTTGCTTATTATCTTTACGATCCAAACTATCTTCTGTATTTTCTGAGGTTCCATCTACTGTCCCATTCTTAGCATTAAGACACAAAGGAGAGAGGTCCCCATGCAGAAAGTAGGAGTCAACACTTGAGTGAGTTACAGGTCCAGAACATTCAATTTTGTTCTGTTTAGGGAGGATATTTTTCAATTTTTGAAGAGCTGATCCTTCTAAGACTGAGGAGGTTTTAGAAACGTGGTACATAACATCCAGAAGACCAGCAGTATCAGACTGTGGTTTGGACACAGAACTTATTCTTAGCTGAGGAATTTTTAATTGTACAGTAGGACTTGAAGTTTCATATTGTAGATTTTCACTTTTCTCTTTAAATTGAGTGACCATTCTCTGTAGAGTTAACTGGTGGAGGTAACTGGAAGCTGTTGGGAATTTTAATTCTGAGGTTTCAAGTAGACTGAGTTTACTTTTTTCTGTGCGCTCTGCTTGAGCTCTTGCCCACAAGGCTACTTTTTGTAGGACTGCACAAGTTTCTTTACTGTCTTTAAATGAATAACTATCATTGAAATCTCGAGTTTTATTTTTAAAAGGTGCAGGCTTTCCTGCTGGTAAGGCTTCTAAGTGGAGAAGTAAAGTTTTTTGAGGTATGCCATAAAGTATGCCTGCTTTATTTATGTCCAGTGCTCCAGACTGAATGTCTTTCAAAGCTTTTGAGAGTAAACCATCTGCAAACTCAGCACTTCTTTCCACATAGTCCTCTCTGTTTCTGTGTAGTCTCCTGGATGGATGGAATGAAACGATGGTAAACTGATGTATGAGAGACTCTCACACAGCTATGGAAGGGAAGGGTCCACTCCTTTATTATACTCCTTGCTTCGGTAACATCACTGCTTCTGATACTTTTTAGCCTTTGAGATGTGGTAGTTAAATGATTATCCTAGCAAAATGTTACAGTTCTGGTAGGACAGTGCATCAAAAATCATACGGTGGCTTCTACAGCAGCCCTTCCAAGAACTTTATATCCTAGCTCAGTATTTGATAATAGTCTCATGTGCTTGTTATATTCCCTTGTTCACATGCTTGCAGAGCAACACTGTTATAATTTTAGTTATACAATTAACATTCCGTTAAATACCCAAATCCTGAAGGAGTTTTTGTTAGTAGAAACGTGACGTTACCGCTAAACAAGTAATAAAAGAGTCAACCCCCTCATAGAAAATTTGCAGCAATAAGTACATAACTACACACAAACATCCCAGACTTACACGAAACTAGGCTTTCTACAACAGTAAGATAAAAGTGCTGTCGTTAACAATCAAGTCCATTTTCGCAAAATGAGACACAGTTTTAGAAACTTCTAGTCACTACTTACAGCTCACTAGTTACAAAGTCATACTCATTTTCAAACTTCTTCGTATGAGCAAATTAATAAAATGCACTTTTACATCATTCAACAAATACTGCTACTGTAGTCCTATCTGTAATAAGTTATTTGGTAAGACGTACAGGTGACAAAAAAGGGTCCTGCTATGGCTAGTGGATGGGAGGATGCCAAGATCATAAAATCCAACAAAACAATGCATTTCACTAATTTTGTGGTAGCTTTCAGCAGATGCAATAACATTCTCCATGCTGAATAAAGACATTTAACCATTTGCCACCACACACCATAGTCAGAACCATGATGTAAGTTTAAGTATGATGATTAAGAGCTCTCTCTCACGCGCTTGCTCTCTCTTATTAAAGAATGTTATAGATAATAGTCATTTAACTCGTTCATGTTAGTTGAAGAACATTTTACATCTAATTATTAACGTGGTCATTTTTGTCCAAAATTGAAGTTTCCTAAATAAACTCTAAAAGAATTATTTGCATTTTCTTCTACTCTTCTATTACTTTTAATGTGTTATGTAATCAATTTTCAGGTAATTTTTAGTAACATGAACTAAAGTTTGGTGATTGTTCTGATAACTTTTCTTTAAACAGAAAAAAAGGAAAAAGACAAATGAAACATATGATATATACATAGACACACACTTATGAGTGACAAAAATTCTTTTGAAAGCAAAATAGGAACCACATGTGTGTGCCAGTATATACAAGTATGTTATGAACATAAAACCTGACCAGAGAAGAGGAACCCGGATTGTCTTTTAAATAAGCCAAAGAGAGTCCTAAATGTTGCTTACCCAGACACTGAGTTTTCAGAACACAATGGATCGTATTTTGGTTCTTCCAACCTTGCGCTTTTCTTTGTAGAGAGATCTAGCACTCCATCCCCTGCAAAGAACGAGTAGTGATGATAACAGCGGTTTAAGGATGATCTCAAAAGATTTCGTTAGCAAATATTTTTTACCTATGGCACAACTTTCAAGCAGCTACTTTATCTTGTAAAATTTCTAACACCATATTCTGTTAACAATGTCAGCCCTCAGCAAATGATTTTGTACATTTCATTTGGAAAAACACTTTTTTAAAAAATGGAAAAAAATAAAGAGTAAACCCATTTGGAAAGAATAAAATCTAAAAGAATCTGTATTAAACAAAAACATGACTGCTTTCCTTAAAATCACATATGCATCTAGATTGCACTGTTTACTTTCAAGGCACGCAAAACAATGCACTGGATATTACTATTACTATTATTCATATTTACATGCTGTAAGCAAACAAGTCTGATGCTGAAGTTAAAATCGACCTAACCAAATCCTAGGCCTACAGGATAATTCAGGTTAATAAGGATCTCAGGAGGCCTCTAGACCAACCTCCTGCTCAGAGTAGGGTCAGCTGTGAGACCAGACCAGGTAACTGGATAAGCAGGTAGTACTCCAGCAACTGGGAAGCAAGCTTGAACTCAGTACAGGGTTTTAAGAAAATGAGACCTATGTCATTAAAGGTTTTAACAGTTTATTTATAGATATTCCTCCTGCTGCCTCCACATATACGCAATAACGAAATTAAAGAAACAGGAAGAGGTGGGAATCTGGGGTGGGAGTCTGCTCTGTTAAGTCACTGGTAAATGCTAAATTCAAGATTTATAGCTGGCTCTTGAAGTCTATGAAGCACTGAAATAGGAAAACATACTTTAAAAAAATCAGTATTTAAAAACACTGAAAACGAAAGAAACTAATTAGCACTTGAAATACTACTTTTAGTTTAAAGTTTTTTCTTAAAAAAAAAAAATCAATCACATTTTAATTATAATAAGTCCCCTGAATATATTTAATTTCATACCTTTCTTCCTTGGTTCTCTGTTTCAAACTTGGGCTGTTTTGTGTGCCTGAGCTCTGCGAATTCAATTTTGAGTTTCAACATGTAGCTCAACATTCAGCTCTACAATCACCCTTATACTACCCCTTATTACATTTACAGTGTCATTTTCATGTTACTGGTCATTATTTCTAAAGCATCAATCAACTGTATATATTTTCCCACAGGCTAAGATGCAGACATGAAGCACTGGCTGAAGAATCCAAATGCCAACAATCGAATAAGAAGTCAGGAACATGCTTTGGGTACCTCTCCTTTATACCAATAATGCAAAGAAATAGAGTTCTGTGTAATAATCAAATCCAACTATTTGTTTTGGACTGCTTTCTGACTGTTCTTCCGCAACTATTTTGCAGGAGAAGGGTAGACAAAGTAACATCATGAGTCAGCATTAGGAGAAAAATATTTATAAATATGCCACTTGTCAAAGATGCTCCTTTTCTCCTGAATATATTCCTTTCAAAGTCTTCCTTAGCCCTAAGAAAGTTAAAGGAAGGACTAATGTTAATCAACCTCCCTGATGCAGTGATATTAAAGAAGAAAAAGCCAATCAAAACCACTACAGAAATACTCTACAGGGACTATTTTGCCCACCGAATACTCCAGCTTGCAGTGTCCCCAAGTCCTGTGCAAGACAGATTTTATATGCTGTGTTCTGATGGTCATACAAAGGACATCTCTTTCTTAAGTGTTCGTGTGTTCCCTTTCACAACAGTTTTCCCGTCTGCAATTGATATTCATAGGTAATATGATAAAGTTTAGAGGAGATCACTGGAGAAAAATCTACTTCAAAGTTGACAACTCATCAAGCAATGAAGAGCTAATCATCTCTAATCAATTTACAAAAAAAAATTTCAAGCTAACTAAATTTTTACCAAAAAAAAAAAAAAAAAAGCCTCAACAAAAAAAACCCCAAAGGTTCTTATAGGATTCTATAATGAAATCTGACCAAAATAATTTTCATTTCCAGTCTTTCAGAATTGGTTTTGACAACACAAGGCTAGCATTAAATTGAAAAATTACTAAAAAGAACACAGTACTGAAAATGCAGGCTTCTGCAACAAAAAATTAGATATATTTTGGGCCTCTAAAGGGTAAGCAGAACTGAAGTAATTTCACATTCAAGATCGTTTCTCCAACTCAGCAAATGCATTAAGTCCATGACACTTCCCTGAAGACAATGCTTTATGGGAAAACTATACTCAGTAAAAAAAAAAAAAACATGCAAGAAATTTGATATCCACACAAAATACCAGAAAAAGTCACTGCACTCCAGATTTTTATTCAGTGATTTCACTTGAATTAAAAAAACCCAAAAACCAGAAAGCAAAAACCAAACTAAACAAAAAAAAAATACCCTCACAAAAACCCACCTCTAATTGGTAGGCAAGTGAGAGCATCTGCTATAAAGCCTTAAGACATAATGAAATCCCACCTAATGAAAGGAACATACGTATATATACACAGCAATACCAAAGTTCACTTTTGTACATTAGGTACAAGACCAAAAAGTTTGTGAAGGGGCATCCTATATGTGGACAATGAACTTGTTACTTGCAAGGTAGGAGTAGTTTTCTCTAAGCTGAGCCAGAACTTTCTATTATTTCTTATCAAATAACTCAAAACAGGTAATAAAGCAAGAATTCTGGACAGGAACTGAATGATATCAGGAACAGAAAAACTATTCTCTAGAGTGGTTTTAATAAAAGACATGAAATTACTTCCACTCTTTAGCTAAAGCCATGACTACTAAGATGACAGTCTTCATAAACAATACTATGTAACACTGGATAATACAGAAAAATTCTTAGATGTTTTTCAGATGTGCTACTCATGGTCTTCTAATGAAGGTATTTCTGTGCAAATTAAATCATTTTGATCTTCAAAGAAATGGCTCAATCTCTGCCCTTTGCTTCTCAGCACCAGATCATCAGGTAACTAAGACATAACTAAGTGTGATCAAAGTTCATCTTCAAAATAATTAGGACTACAATCATTTGAAACTCCTCCCGACTACTGATGTTAGAGAAAAAGGGAGGAGAAGAGGAAGCAACAGAAACCATATGGGTCAACCTTGAGTTCTTACAATTGGTATTTCTGCACCGATTTTAGCAATTTCTGGGTTTCAGGAGATCCCTCACTAGCTATTATGAACTTTCTTATTGGATCAGACAACGTACTCTAGTGAGTTCACAGTATCCAGACATGGCAGGCACTCTACTCCTAGTGTGGCCAAGTAGTGGGTGTCCACAGCGCGGTCTTGGCAGCATCTGTTAGGACAGGCCATGGGCTGCCCTGTGCCGGACAGAGACGGTCCTGGCTGGCTCCAACAGACCCACTGCAGGGCACAGCTGAGCCATTTGGGCTGAACCTCTGGGAAATCACATTTAAGAATGGGGAAAAAGTGCCAAATGGACAGAGAAAACAGGAAAAAAAAGAATGAAGAAATAGCAGAGGAAAGCCCAACAGCACAGAGAAACCATTAGGTAAAGACAGTGGACACTGCACACCCACTACCCTTGCATCACAGGGGTGGGCTGTAGTGCAATGTATATATAATACCTGCTCCATAACCTGCAGTGGAACACCTGCTTCACTGTGACCCTCTTGCTGTGCTCCACAGAAATATCTACTCTGATTTCTGGAGTACCTCCCTTCCCCTTTCTCTCATCTTGTTGTTCACTGTGCTGTTTCTCACTCCTCTGCCTGTCCAGCATTTTTGCACTTTAAGTGCACTTCCACAGTGGCACGAGCCTCCCTGATGCGCTCCACTTGGATCTCTGTTGCAGAGCTGGCTCCGCCTTGCACAGGGAAGCCCTGATACCTTCTTGCAGATGCCACCCTATAGCGCACCCCAACTACTGCAACTGCCATGTAAGCCAAACACACAGTGGTATCAGGTCCGGAAGTGACAGATCTGAGGGGTTTTTTGGAGTGCTTCAGAGATGGCCTGTAGGTACTGGAGGAAAGTAAAAAGTTTTCTGCAATGGAGAACTTCAGTGGCAGAACCTTTTTTTCAGTGTTGAGCTGGCACTTAGCTTGGGTCTGCTTAGTCCAAAAACAACTGCTTCTAGTAATCTGGAAAATAGTTTACACCTTCCTCTCAAGTGCAAGAATCACTGCCATAGTAAAGAAACAAGACTGTCTGTCCAAAGACAACTACCATAAATACAAAGCAGCTGCCTAAACAGAAAATGAACATACAGCATTTATATTTAAGTCATTATCTGCTTAACAGGATTTGAATTGAAAAGACTTCAACTTTGAGGATGCACCAAATTTGAACAAATTTGAACTTCCTACTCTGTTATTGCCAATTCATTTGGAAATCCTAATAGGAATTACAAATAGCAAATGGTAAGGAGAGTTGCATGACAACTAAATGATACTACTAAGAAGGGAATCCTGGTATAGCTTTTATAAGTCTCCAAACTGAAGAAATACACTGTGTTAGATACAGAACTATGTATTTTTAAAAATATATCCAATTAAAAAATGTAAGCATGTGACACTTCATTATAAACAAGCTTCCTTCAGGCAAATACAGAAGTGAGAGAGAGGCAGAATAACACATAGTCCCTGACAAAAGCTAATTGAAATAACTTTTTCATGAATCTTTACACATGGAAGACAGTGCAAATAAAATGCGGAAGCAGACTTTCTTCATCTTGATCTTATTCGCTTGTGTTGCCATCACTACAGTGAAAAGCTAAAATAGCTCATAACTGGTATGTTCATGGGAAACAGGAAGCACTAAACTTTCCAGATAGGTAAGATGTTCAAGCCACCTTTCTCCAACTACGCTCTTATTTCATCAGCAGCTCTAAATTTCACAGCAAGACCAGTACCTTTAACATCTGCAAAGCACTCCAGCAAACATGGCAGTTTAAGTTCTGAGAATCTTCATTATCTTACACAGTTTACTGTGTAACCTGTATACTATGAGTGCTGAGCAACTACTTTAGCCTAAGCTGTTTCACTGAAGGTGCACATTTCCAAACTTGTTTAGCCTCATTGTAAAAAAACCCTCCAATGATATTAAAACCAAAAGATTTAAATATCTTAATTTCTCTATGTTTAAAGTTTTTCTTAGACAAAAGATTAATGGATTTTCAAATAGCTGAGGGTGGCAGCACAACTTTCTTCCTGTCCCTGCCCTGTTCACCCTCTGCCTTCCCTTTCATTCCTCTAAGATTTATTTGGGCTCAGCAACAACTAGAACCTGTCACTGAGGACTTTGCTCCCTCATGGACATTTAAAACCAGTTATTTATAAGCAGCTGTTGAAGCAAGCAAAAGGCAATAGTACTGGTATCAGGAAAAGTATTTTTTATTGCCCTTGCAAAAGAAGTGTGCCTCAACCTGGCCCATTATAAAATCTCTAAAATCTGTAATTCATCCATAGCAGAAAGAACAACAGATATTTTCTCCAGATTTAATCTGCACAAGGTATTTACTAAACCCTGGCATTAACTGGTTTCTGCCGACCACACAGAATAAAAGCAGAAATTCCACTATTTCTTAAAGCAGTTGCTGTCAAAGAGAAAGGATGTTTGAAATTTGATCTAGAATAGGTATACTTAGCATGAGAAATCCATGTCAGAGTTCCCTGTCCCCAAGGATGTCATCTAATTAAAGACTGCATCATTAGGCACACACAGAGCAGATCTGCTCTCATTCTGACAATGTATAATAAAAAAAAAAAAAAAAACCCCAAATGAAACGAAACCCAAACCACTTAGTTCTGCCTTCTTTCAACTTTTTTAGTATGGTACGTGACAAAAGGTCAACTTTTCCCTTTGGTTGGCAGTATTACAGGATTAATATAGACCCTTACATCTGTAAAAGACAAAAGCTGCTTTCGCCACTGCTTTCAGTTGCACATGACAGTCACAACCGTTCCTGAAAACTGCTGCTAATCCAAATCTAGTTCAAAGTCCAAAACACTCTTGTGATTATACTGTTATCAGTTTTGGATAGCAATATTCCTTAAGGCAAAGAAATAATTTCCTTTATGAAAATGATAGTGAGACAGACTTTATTTCTCTAGCTTTACTTTCAATTAAGAAAGCTCCACTGATCTATAATGATTAAGGTATGAAGTATGGAAATTTCCTTCCAAATTAATCTTCTCTTTCCATCATTCCAATCAGCCTGTATTTAAGAATCAAAATGTCCAAGGGCTGACACTGACTGAGTGACATTTGCTCTCTGAAATCCCAGTATCTTTCTTGCTTCTCTCAGGCTTCTACCAGAATCACTGTTACCTGTGAGAGCCCCAGGTGAGCTGACTTAGATTCAGTATTCCAAAGGTGTGAAATTCCAATACCTGTTATTTAACCCAGGCACTCAGAAAGGAGAATATTTATCTGCTAACACATACTATGAAAAATGTTTCCAGAAAGAATGTGGAGCTTTTTGGAGGTTTTTTTTTTTAACACAGTTCTCTTATAACATTTTTCAAGGTGTTTAAAGGAAAATGTATGATTTTTCTTTCAGTATTAAGCTGATGCAATATCAATTTTCCTTCAACCTTTTTTTAAACACATAGGATAACTTTTTTTCTCCTGTACACTGTTACTATTTGGAAAGGTAAAACACATATTTGACATGGAAGTTTATTTTTTAATGGAATAAGATGCCATGAAGTAATAAATGACAGCAAAACACCAATTAGTAGATACAGACGTTTACCTTGCTGAGTATTCTGTTCTTGAGTTCGATTCACAGTGAGGTCTAGAGGGCTATCCTGTTCTTCCTGAAGGGAGTTTTCCGTTTGGTTCATTTGGACACTTTTACACATCAGACTTGGTTCAAACGATGAACCATTTCTGTTCTCTTGAATTTTGCTACTTTTTGAAATGTACTCAATCGCAAACTGACGGATCATTTTTTTCATTAATTCCTGAGCAACTAGGGGAATGTTAGGATCACAGTTCTGAGGAAGATCTAGGAATAAAACAAACACAGGCAACAGATATATTAAGAGTCAATTACTTTTCTTGTAATAAACACTTCCTATAAGCACACAAATGTGTGTAGTATGTACATGTGTAATGAACGTAATAATTCAGACATCTAATAATTTTTTCTTATGAGCATTCCTAACTGGAGATCACTTGGAAGAACATATTTAGCAGAGATCAGTAATTTTTACCATATTCCTTTATCATAGCATGCAAGTAAGACTATGTGGGTTGCATTATTTATGGGAGTCAGAATGTGCATTTACTGTTGGCAATAAGTTGAATTTTCATTTGTAGACTCTTTCCAGTTTGGAAAATAAAGAATTTTGAATAAAACCAGCAAAAGTTAAATGAGCTGTGAATTAATACAGAAAGAAGTTACTTTCAAAGAACAACCATAACAAAATAATGTGTAGTAAAGTGTAGTTCTATAGATTAACATAACATAGAACACTTGAAATTTTGAGGAACTGACCTTAAAAAGAAAAAAAAAATGAAGAGAGATTTATTTCACCTTCGTATTAGATTATAATATCCACTGTAGATTCAGGATTGAAATGTCAAAACTGATACGATGCTACTTAAAATGTCACATACAATTTAAGGTAATACAAGCAATTGAATAAAAAAATAAAGCTCTAAATTTTTATTGTAAAATCTTATAGGATTTTCAGAATATTTCCTAAGTGCTACCAATGAAAACACTTTTAAGAAAACCTTTATTTCCTCTTCTACGCTTGGAGTATTCTTTTATTTGCTTGTGTATGTAACAGTCCCGTGGAAAGTAGTATTTCAATTTAGAAACAACAACAACAAATCATGAGATATCTATGACTTTATTTGAATCTTATCTGTCAGCTAGAAAAAAGTGAAACCTCTTATTAACAAACATAGCTGAAACTACATTTTTGAATCACCATAAAGAATCCTAACAGAAGTACCAGATAGAATAAAATAAAGATGTGTAACTTAACATAAATAAGCTGTGTTACTACACTGATGACTGCAATACTTCATTTCCCAAGACAAGCAAAACTGCCCATGCTCAGAGATCTATGTCTTCCTTGAAGAGGCAGTAATAGTACTCCACTATCCCACTCTTCCTTCTTTCCTTCTACTCTACACACAAACACACCCCCTCACACCAAATATCCTTTTCAATGTTTTAACTCTGTCCATCCTTGAGTTCACAGGTAATGTTTCCAATCAAGAAGGGACAATGATATAAAGATTTAAAAGTGTGACAGTGATACAGGAGAATTAGCTTTTAGGTCCATGAAAGGAATAGCAAAGGACATGTTCTGTAGTTACTGGGATACTACAGTTAGTCTGAAACAGATAAGACAGATGAGTTTTGTTTTCACGGAAGTGGAGAAACCGAAAGGCCTGGACTGGGGAGATGTTTGCATGCAAAGTGTACATTCCCTAATAGGTGGTTTGCAGGATCATATATTTGCTCAAGCATTTTATGGCAATGAAGCTTTAACCATCTATTAGCAAGAGAGTGACAGCTGAGACTCATCAAATAATGCTGTTCAAGTTTAAGACGAATGCACAGAAGATCTTTCGCTTGTTTGTTTCAGGTTTATTCAAAATATTCCATTTTGAGAATTAATTTTCACCAACAGAGCACTTCAAGGAATTACAAACACACACCTATGAGATCTGCTGTTCAGATGCTTCCTTTCAAGACCTTTTGGTTGGCCTCTCAGTAGTGCTTTATGAGGTACAAGTGAAGGTCCAAGATTCCCAAAGACTGAGTACATGCTAGACATCTTGGCTTCAAGAGAACTTATCCAAGGCATAACAAAACAAGTCTGTTTATGGTTAAAGCTCTAACTTCTGACAACCTTTTAACCAGATCTCTATCCCAATATCTAAAATTGACAGGCATTTCTAGAAGAGAGGTATGAGGTAAAATTCAAACTGATGGAGAAAAGAGAAGGATCTCTCCCTGCCATGTAACATCCATGCATTAGTATTCTTTGTTTATATTACTATTTCCTGACCCTAAATCGTGAAGCCAGAAAATGTTCAACTGGAATTTTATCACCCTAGAGACACACTTACAAGTAAAGAAAAAATTCAACAGATATTGAAGTAGTAAGGTAATAGGTGTAAAAGTGCTTATGTATATGTAAAATATAACAAAAGAACAAAGAAAGTTAAGAGATAAAACGGAATAACTGAATTATCTAGGAACAAAAGTGTTTGCATGAGAGGGAAATGTTATATCTAGACAACAAAAACTACTGATCAATAGCTTAGCTTAAAAAAAACAACCCACTAAAACAAACCCAAACAAAAATCTGACAGTCTGTAATCAAGAAACTCATACAAAGTTAATTATACAAAACATTATCATATTACATAGGATAATATAATCATAGTATTATACTGAATAGTCTACCAGATATCTGGTCTGGAGTGACCCTGCTTATATAGAGAAATTATTTTTTTGCATGTACCCAAGAAAAACTACTTCAATGGCTTCTGGATAACAGGGGACCATTGCTGCAAATGGGAGAGAAAAGTTATTTTAAAGGCACAGATCACACCAGGATATAACAAGCAAAAGAGCAGAGAGTGCAGGGGACACCTGCCATTAGCTGAAAGACACAAAAGCCTGGAACAAATTTCTCCTTATTAATCACCATCCCGTGCATCAGTTATTATAAAACTGCACAACAAAACTCATTCAGAACTGTCAAGTTTCTACTGCCTCCTATTCCAGTTTAGACTGTTCACACTGGTAATGGCCAAGCATATATTGCTCTTAGACACTTGAAGTCAGCTTTCCCATTAGGAGCAAAGTCATCTTTCACTTAGATGGAATAACAAAAGATTTTTTTTTGTTCTTCTAACAAGTTCTTCAGCATTAGGTTTTTTTTTTTTTTGTTTTTTTTTTTTTTTTTTAACTTCCAGATATTCCCTATGGAAAAATAAATGCAGCAGAATTTCTCATATATTCAGCTGCTATAGCTATTGGCAATTTAGAGATTCTAAGTTAATTTACTCTAAAAAGGTAATACGGGGGGTATGTGTGTGTGTATATCTCTGAGCATATGATCCAAAAGATGTGTTCCAGGGATGCATCTGAAGTGCTCTTGCTGCTAATGCAAATTCAATCTACAGGGTCAGACTCAGGTAGTCTAAGATTAACTGCCATAAATGCAAATGCTGTTGCTATCACATTGACTGTTCTATAATGTAAATCATTAAATGGTAAATCATGTTGGAAGTACCTTGGGAGGTCTCTCGTAAAACTGCTTGTTCAAAGCAGGGTCAACTATGAGGTCAAATCAGGTTTCTCTGGACTTTATGCAGTTAGGTCAGGAGTATTTCACAGATGGAAATTGTACAACCTCTCTGGGTAGCATGTTCCACTGCCTGCCTGTCCTCATTTTACCTTACATAAATAGGGACCTTTAATTTCAACCTGTCTGTAATCTGTCATTATCCTGCTATGCACCCTTGTAAAGGCTTTCACTCTGTCTTAGAATCATTGAATATTCTAGGTTGGAAGAGACCCATCAGGATCATCGAGTCCAACCCCTAGCCCTGCAAAGGACACCCCGAGAGTTTGTCCAAATGCTTCCTGAACTCTGTTTAGCTTGGTGCTATGACCACTTTACTGTTCCAGTGCCCAACCACTGGTGAAGAACCATTTCTAATATCCAACCTAAAGCTCCCCTGACACCACTTCAGGCCATTCCCTTGGGTCCTGTCACTGGTCACCACAGAGAAGAGATCAGTGCCTGCCCCTCCTCCTCCTCTCATGAGGAAGTTGTAACTGCAATGAGGTCTCCCCTCAGTCTCCTCTTCTCCAGGTTGAACAGACTAAGTGAACTCAAGTGCTCCTCATACGGCTTCCCCTCAAGGCCCTTCACCATCTTTGTTGCCCTTTTTTCAAAGCTCTCTAAAGACTTGATGTCTTTTTTATATTGTGGCACCCAAAACTTCACACAACATTTAAGGTGAGGCTGCCCCAGTGCAGAGTAGAGTGGGACAGTCCCCTCCCTTGACTGGTTGGTGGTGCTTTGCCTGATGCCTCCCAGGACACGGTTGGCCCTCCTGGCTGCCAGGGCACTGCTGACTCGTATTCAACTTACTGCTGACCAGGACTCCCAGGTCCCTTTCCGTGGCCCTGCCTTCCAGCATCTCATTCCTCAGTTTGTATTTATATTCAGAGTTGCTGGAAATCTGCTTTTGATCCATTACTATTAATGCTGGTTTGCTTCCTGATGGAGAATGAAGTTGTGGATGCTTAACTTGTATTATGAGGAAGAAGCAATTTAGAGTAGTTTGAAGTTAGAAATAGTTTCCCACTGCTCTCCAAATGATACAGAACACAAATGAGTGCTGTAAGATCTCAAAAGAAGAAAGTAACAGTTTCATAACTATATTCTTTTTACACAGTACACATGCTTGAAAAATAACAAACTACTAAGGTAAAGGCAACTTTTATCAATGTAACACTCAAGTTATCAAAACACACTTGAAGTATGTTATATAAAGTCTAATTACTTGCATTCAATGGCTGTAAGTCTGATTATTATACAAGTATGCAGTGAAAACAGACCTGGAGCATCTCTTGTACAAAGACAGGGAGCTGGGCCTGTTCAGCCTTGGGAAGAGATGACTGACAGGGGACCTCACTGTAGGGAGTGTGTCAAGGGGATGGAGCCAGGCTCTTCTCAGTGATGTCAAGCAGAAGGACAAGAGGTAATGGGCAGAAACTGAAGCACAGAAAGTTCCACCTGAATATGAGGAAAAACTTCCTTACTGTGCGGGTGACTGTGCACTGGAACAGACTGCCCATAGAGGTTGTGGAGTCTCCCTCACTGGAGATATTCAAGTACCATCTGGACACAATCCTGGGCAATGTGCTCGAGGATGGCCATGTTTGAGCAGGGAAGTTGGACCAGATCACCCAGAGTAGTCCTTTCTAATCGTACCCATTCTGTGATTCCCAATGGCAAAGTTCCACTACGCATGAGAAATTGTAATAAGTCATATAAAATTCTTAAATGCAATGAAACATATTTTGGGGCAAGAGAGGTATCAGATCTCTGACCTTCGTACCACTACCAAATATTTCTTAATTATTATCAGCAGATGGCACCAGATATACTTGGTATGACCTGAAGAATCTTTATTCTAAGATGTTTCATTAGGAGTCATGATTATAGCTCCTTAAAAAGTTTTAAATCTACATGCCTACATTAGTTTAAACTCCTATTTTTCACAGTTGATTTAAAACACAAGGCATCTGTATTTAGTCCATGGATCTTTAAAGATTTGAAGTAAAAAGTAGCTCCAATGTTCCTCTACTTTCTCTCAGCTCACTGTAACCTGATGTTATTAGGCTAAAAAAGGCTAAATGACACATTTGTACAATATAACATTTTCTGCTTGTGATTTTTCAAGATTACAGTCAGAATGCATAAGAAGACAGTAATAAATATCATGTAATTATGACTAATTGCAATGATTTATTTTAATTCAAAGTTCACATTTAGGATTAATACTTAGTTTATGTGTTGCACCAGCTTGTAACTATCCAAATTCATACTCTTAACTATTCTGCATATTGTGTGTGATTATTAGACTGCAATGTACAATATAATGACTGATGTGACTGACAGTTCAGAGTTACACATTGGCAGGACAATGACCAAGGAATTAAAAGCTCCCAAAATAGTGTTCCACAATAGAATTCTATTTCTTGAAAGTGAGTAATGTTTCATTAAAAAGTCAAACTAATGACCTAATTTTTCTCATGATACAATACCAAAAGGCAATGAAAAGCAGCAGGGAATCACAATCCTCCTTGTACCCTACAAGGCTGTTGTGTGAGTAGCAGGACTAAGAACACCTGGTTGTTTATCAGCGTGTTCCCTGTATTCACTCCACCTTTCCTCTTTTCAGAAAAAGGCCATGTGTTTCTAGAACAACCCTGCCTCAACAGTGACTAAACTGTCCCAGCAATATTCTTAGCTGTACTCATAAAATTGTTCATGTCATTTTAACTGGCAAGTTAAAACCAGAATACAATAACTTATTCTGAGCCATGTATTGCAGTTAGTTTAGTTAACTTGACTGATCAACAAACAGGAGTAGTTGTTTTCTGCTCTTGCAAACATTCCATGTTTTTCTTTCCTCTACTCAGGTTGCAATTCTCATTACTATATATGTAGTCATATCTCCTAAGAATATTCTTACATATAATTAAAAATGACCAAGAAATTCAGAGTCAGTGAGGACAGTAACACTGGCAGGCAGGTGGTCAACACAAAAAATATGCTTTACTTCCCTAAGAAAGCAGCTGAAAACCTGCTATGCATTCTTTCCTGATGAACTTAAGGAGGAATAGCAAGGCTGTTGAATACAAGCTTACTGCACAAGCTGTGTCAGAGCTCTCAGATTACAGCACAACTTCCAGATTTTGAAAGGATAAATTATATTTCTTAAAATTGTTAATAAAAAAGAACTGCAGGCATTGGATGAAGCAGTGTGTACATCTCAAAAACTGCAACTCAGAAAGTAACACTTTTTCTTTTAAAGTCTGAGATTATGTGTGCAAAATTACATTCTCATAGGTTTGTCAAATTATATATACACTGTCCAAAAAGTATAACCAGTTTATGACATCCATGCAACTAAGACAGAACTATGCAAAGAACAGGAGAACCGTAAGTTAAATTAAGGGATATGGTATGGCGTAAGAAAGTCATATGTATGAATGGAAACATTCTGCAACGTGAAATAGATAGCTAGAAACTATTAATAAAGAACTTTAATAAAGTTTACAGAGAAATTATTTTGATATGGGAAATGTGGCAATGAAGATACTTGACAGAGCAGCCCAGAGAAACTGGAAAGATTCAAATAATCCCAAACATTCTCCCTGTAATTTTGTGCCTTAATTCCTTAGCTCTACAAGAGCTTTTCATGTTTCGGTCTTCTCTTGGTGGATCATGTCCTGAAGGTAGAACCTGATTCACAACCATGAATGCATGTAAATGACTCTTTCTTTTTAATTTGTTTTTGTTTAAAGAGGTCACATTAATACTGCATGGAAAAATGAGCTTCTAAGAACATACACAATGCAGAGTACTAGAAACCCAGAAAATTAATAGTCCATTAACTAAATGTCTGATGAAGTCCTTAAGCAATGATGGTTCTGCTATATAACAATGATCACGTCACATTCTATAATATTCATGGTAAAAAAAAGGCCAATATGTATTCCTTAACAAAGAAAACAGTTGTATTTTAACATTATGTAAGTGGAAAACTACCACAGTATACTCTGCTTACATGATCAAAAAGGCAAAGAGAGATGTTATAGTTGGGAAGAAAGCATCTGGGTTTCAGATCCACTTTTTAATGGGGACAATCAATGTCTGATGACAAGAATCGTTCTGGCTTTGCTGAGGTGTCTGCTGAGCATAGGACTTTTCTACAGACAACCAACTACCAAACTGGTCTTTCACTAACACATAGTGAAGTCGGGTTCCTAACAGGAAGACATTGTCACTCACGGCATCTCCGGAGTTTACATATCTTGGCAGTAATTCTATCATCCCTTGTCCCAGATTCTACAGACAAGTTGTCATCTAGGAATGTCTGAAGGCTGTATGCTGTAGACAGTGATACAACATGGCTGCATGTTTTGAGATATTCTGAACTAGTTTCCTAATATAAAAAAACCCTCAAAACCCCAAGCCAAAACCACAACCAAATTCCCCCAAAACTAGTCAGCAAATTAAACAATCCAGACATTTGTTCTAAAATAAAAGGTTAATGAGACCAACAAATCCAACTCAAATTTGCTCATTGGTCTTAGAAGTTGTTCATAGAGGTCTAAATGAAACTATGGTAGTTATAATAGTAAGAGAGTATATCATCTTGAGGAGTCTGCAATCCAAACAAGTGTCACTCCATTTCAAAGACAGTCAACCAAGAATTCTGAATTCTTTTGACAATGAAAGCATATCTGGTTTAGTATCATGTATAAGGTCTGTTCCTTAGCTAAGCAATTACTGAACATTTTTTTATTCCTTTTTTCCTAAGTTGATAGTTGAACTCAAAAACCTACAGAAATTCAGAAAGCAGATGTGGGATTTTCTCTAGTAAAAATCTTTATCTTCCTTCCTAAAATTCAAAACAGTTACTTGAACACCTCCTAAATTGGTTTCACATGCCCTTTACAGTATTTTCTGCTTTTCACTTCCTGTAACTTAAAAGACTTTGCTAAAACTTGAACTGAAGCAATATTCTTAGAAAATTCCTTCCCAAGAATACAGAAGTCCTTCAGAGAATCACAAAAACAATTGGAAAAGACTGGTTTTGTTTTTGAATAGACAAAACCTTTTTAACGTAGCATGATTGACCTGGCAGATCAAAACACCTAAGGAAGATGCTAAAAGTAAAATGTTTGTGAAAAACTTCACTTAAGTCATTGACTCCACTAAGGTGAGGTCGTGCCAAGTTTCACTTCTCTCATGATAAAAGTTCCTCTCAAGGAGTATCAAAAGGCAGCATCTCCAGCAGAAGCACAAAGCAGGTGAACGTTCGAAAACACTGTACACATCAAGACCAAGAAGAGATCTGAGAAAGTAGAAATAATGAAGGAATTAAAATACCTGCCTAGGGAGATGCCATACAACTGGGCCTGAGATGAAAAAATAATAAGAATTTCAGAAGTAATGAGGTGCCATCTTCACTGGACATTTTATTTCAAATGGAAAATAGCTTGTTTTAAAGAAAGACAAGGAACAAAGATACACTCAAAATGTTGTTGCACTCCACATAAAGTTCTTTAAAATGCAAAAAAGTAAAATGTAGACTGAATAGATGCACACTACATATAACCCAGGTTCAAGGGCATAATAATCTCTCCTGCTACAGCAAAATAAAAGGGAGAAAACCAACTTTGCTTTTTTCTCCCATCTATGTGGAAGAAGAGAATGTGTCTGACTAATTCTTTGTTAAAAGCAAGAGAGGGCTGTCACCCTAGCCATACTCAGCTATTCTGACATCCAAGTACACCTACTAACCCCAAGAAAAACCTATGAAAATTGTAGCTACCAAGAAAAGCTTCATTCACCTTTCTTCATTCCCAGGAAGCTAAGGAAGAAAATGAGTATTTCTGCTGCCATTGATGGTGAATAACCAAGTAACTTTCATGAACCAAGCTGACTTGTCAGTCACTCCTGTACTGCTACAACTTGCTGAGTGCCAAAGAACAGTCAAAGAATTGATGAGCTACTAAAAACTGTATTTTGACAAGAAGTTTCAACCTCCAACTTGGATGTATTTGAAGGAGCAGCTTTTGTATAACAAGATCCCAAATTCCATTTTGCAATCTGCAAAACACATTCTCTCACCTAAAACTGTTATCCTGCTGAAAACCAGAAGTGAGAATTTAGTAACAGAAAATGTTTAAATGCCTAAAATTCCATAGAATGGCACCTGAAGTTGTCATGAAGACAAAGTAGCAGCTCATGTTAAAAAAAACCCAAACCAATACAATTTGATGGACAGGGATTCAAGAGAATAACACAGAATGCAACAGGAATAAGAGAAATGGCAAGTAGGAAGAGTAGTACCTCATTTGGTGATTCGAGTAAGCAAAGAAAAAGATTAGGAAAAAAACAAAGGAATAAGGAAAAGAAACAGCAGAAACATCTATTTCAGCAGATAAATAAAAACATACTTAAGAATCAAAATCGCCCCTGAATAATTTGATTCTTCTAGATTTTTGCCATATTTCTTAACACAAAAGAAGTTTTTTATTACCTTTCTTTCGAAAGAGTGCATTTAGATAGTTTTCTGCTTGGCATTCAATCTTATCAGTGTTGGACTGGCCCTGAGATGACAGTTCCTCTGTAGGCGTTGACTGTGAAGAACCGATAACTGATGCACGATCCTAGAAAAGATATGAAGCTCATAACATCTCTCAGAAGTTAGTCTGCTGGTAGTGTAATATACAATGAAATTATTGAGCTATTGAATTAAATAGTTTGATTTTACTGGTTCTATCTTGAGTCAAAATGCAGAATTAACTTATCTGCAAAATTAAATTCTCTGATTCTTACTTTCATACCAAAAAATGGGTGTTAGGGAAAAATGTTTAATATAATGTTCATACTTACACTGGCTGTTTCTTTGTGTAAATTACAAAAGGAACATTTCTCATCCATAGACCAGTCAGTTAGCTCTTCTGGCTCACAGTCTTAAAGGAAGAAAAGAAAGTTGGATGTTTTAAACAAGTAAAAATGGATTTTGAAAAAAAAATACACATCCTACAGTTCTCTTAAGTAAATTCCATCAACAATGTGGTGTTTACTGGTACAGTGCATTCAATAATATTCTATTCTTCACATATTTCCAGAGCCTTGTCTGACTTGTACAGTTCAACTTACAAATAGTAGAGAGTACCTTTCTTAAAAGGAAAGGTAAACTCATGCAATTCAATTGATTACCTGTCATAATTACTGGAGGTATCTGAATACTGTAAATAAAGCTCTGAACTGCAGACATCATTCTTTTTAACTAAGTGTGCAAACTTGTAGTAAATTAAGTTAGGAATTAGAATATGAACTCCTCGCCATTTGAGCTACATGGATTTTACTTAAAATATTTTAATTGATTTGATATCATCACCATAGGTAAATCCAAGCCCTATACTCACTTTCAGAGCTTGATTTATCTAGAAAAAATAACTATATGTTTTGTCTGAAAATGTACTTTGGTCTAGAGGGAATATAGGACTTAAATTTATATAGCCTATATCAGGTCCAGTCTTCTACTGAATGGAAACACATCATCTATTTTCTCCAAACAAGTTATTAAGCTTTATTTCAAAAATTAAGAAGTTTTCCACCTATACTTTTCACTTCCCAATCAGGAATTGCTTTAAAGCTTCTCCCAAATGAACTGTGCTAATAGTTAAATTAAGCTTCTAATTTCTTGTTTAAAATAAAAACATTGGCAAGTTATTCCAGTTTGGTTTTGTGGCAACATTATACCCATGAACTTTAGCCATTTAGAACCTTGATGTATTTACAGAGAATACCGTTATCCCCTTTACATTTAATTTTGCAGCTAGTCTAGTCCACCTGGTTTCTCTCATGAGATTCAATTCCATATTTTCTGCACCGGTCTCACTTGAACACCTGTTTCCCAAACACGGGTGTCCAAGATCTCAAGATGATGTCTTTTATATTTACACCAGACTTCCTTAAACTGTAGGCAGCACTTTTCCCACAGAATCCCAGTTATGCAGCAGTCTTTATCACTGCTGCAGAGCCTTGGCAGGTGAATACAAACATGATTAACTAATACACCAAGGTCCTCTCCATCCTGCTCATTTCCAGTTCATGCACTTACAACCTAAACAACTTTTTCGTCCTCCATTATTAATTACCAAGTATGTTTCCTCCTTTTCTCTGTACCACTAAATTACAATCACAGTTTTGTTAGGCAGGTTCTTGAGATTATCTGCTTTCAATAGCACATGATGGTAGGCTGACCTTGGCTGGCTGCCAACCCCCAACCCAGTGATGTTGTCACTCCCCCTCTTCAACAGGGCAAGGGTGGGGAAATAAGACGGTAGGGGAGGAAATAAGACAAAAAAAATTGTGGGTCAAGATAAAGACAGGGAGATTACACTTACCAATTCCTGTCACTGGCAAGTCAGACTCAACTTGGGAAAAATCCATTTCATTTATTGCCAATAAAAATAGATTTGCATGATGAGAAAGGGAAAACACTAAACCACCTAACCTTCCCTTCTTCCCAGGCTTCAGCTTCACTCCTTCATTCCTGAGTCTTCTACCTCCTCCCTCACCCCAAACCACGCAAGGAGGATGGGAAACAGGCTCATAACAGTTCCTCTCTGCTGATTGCTTCTCCTCATTTTTCCCCGGCTCCAGCTTGGGATCCTTCCCACAGACTACAGGCCTTTACAAACTGCTCCAGTGTTCTTCTCACAACTGCAGCTCTTCATGAACTGCTCTAGCATGTGTCTTTTCCACAGGGCACAGTCTCTCAGGAAGAGACCACTCAGCAGGCCCACAGTGCCCGCCAGAAAACCTGCTCCTGCATGGGCTTCTCTATATTGGCTGCAATTCCCAACAGAAGCCTGCTCCATGGGCTCTCCACAGGCTGTAGCTTCCTTCAGGGCATTTCCACCTGCTCCAGTGTGGGGTCCTCCATGGGCTGCAGTGTGGATACCTGTTACAACGTGGTCCTCCATGGGCTGCAGGCTCTACCTGCTTCACCATGGTCCTCTCCATGGGCCGCAAGACACTCTGCTCCGGTGTCTGGAGCACCTTCTCTCCCCTCTTCCTCCTCTGACCTTGCTGTTCGTAGGGTGGTTTCCCACTGCTCATCATCCCCCACCTTCCCCCACAACTGCTGAGTTTTTACTTTTTCTCAAAGATATTATTTCAGAATATCAGAAATAAAATGAGTCTGAAAAAACAAGGTTCTTCAGCTGAGCATGAACACAACCCAGGTAACTCCATATTGTTATTAAAATCTATTTTACTCAACTCTAAAATACTAATTAAGAACAGAATTTTGTATTAACATATTATAAGCTCCCAGGGATACAAACCAGCAGTTTCTACAGGTTAGTTAGCTGATGATCAAGACAGACATGGGATTTTTCTTGACTGGACAGTAACATGAGATACTGACTTATTTTTGCTTAATTAATCTAGCTGTTGCAGCCTGTTAAGAGTTATTCCTTTAAGATGTACACAGATGAAAAAAAAACAGCACTATTCCTTCACACAAAGCTCAGGGTTTTCCTTGCAACCATGAAAAATCTATTTACCGACCTTGGGATTCTACATATAACTCTAAGACAGGTTTTGTATTTTCAGACAAATTCTTCTGCCTTGGAATCCTGAATTTCCACTGTTAAAAGTCAAACTAAAGAGCAATCCGCGTGTACTGCCAAAAAGCAAACCTTGAGAAACATCAGCTCTACACAACATTAAACTTATTCAAAGCAGTATAAATCATGTTGGACACATTAAATATGCCAGTGAGCTAAGCAAAGCTGACATCAGATAGCAGATATATATAAGATATATCAAATGCCAGACATCCAGCAGTCTCAGGTCACCATCACAGGAAACACACTGAGATCAGTATTAAGTTTTTAACTACAGATAGGCATCTCGGAAAGATCAGAGGTACAGACAGAACTTTAAGTAGAACAAACTTTCCTTGGCTGCTTTCAATTTAGAATGATGATCATCCTTGCCCCCTTTTATCTTACTTGGGGTCAGATGATGCAAGATCTGTAGACAACCTACGGTGCTTGTCAGCCCATGAGAAAAAGTTGTTAACACTGTGCAAAGAGCATTTGAATATTAAATAATAACAACAGATTATTACCTGAAACCAAAGTCATTTAGTAAAAATTTGTTAAGCTTATTTCTGTTTCTTAGGAATAAAATGGTGAACTTTGACAAAAAAATACTACTTTTTTTCACTTCTTAGGGCACTCAAATCTTTGCTTCCCCAAACTATTTTTCCCAAGGAGTCATACCAAATTAAGCAAATTAATTCAGACATATGTAATGCTGAACAGGTTCCATGTTTACCTCTTAAAATATGAAATAGTTGTCCAGTAAATCTGAATACAAGATAGTTTAAAAAAATTCAACCCTTACTTTCCAGTATTTTCTGATTATAATCATGTCCCAAGAATTTTTCCAGCTATTTGTGACAATCCTGAACAGAATACCCTCTTTCTTTTCATATAGCACTACTGCTTCCTAGTAAGTACATTAAAACAACTGAGGTGTTTATCAAGTTCCTTCATATTTTTAATTTCATAAATACTCAAATTACATTAGATTTGTGTTTCTAACATAATTGTTCACTGCTATAAATACTCCAGAGCAACGTACGGAAAAATAAAACACACCCTCAAACCTTTCATCCTGTATAAAGAACAATGAGAGCTGCTTTTCTCCCACAAGCCACTGCTTCTACTCTGTGGTTAAGAGAATAGAACCCCAGCACCTAATCCCCAAAAAAAGAAAGTACACACATACCAGCTGATTAGAGGAAAAGCTTTCTAACAGTTTAGCTAAATATCCATAAGTAGAATGTAAAGAATAACAATTTACATGTGAATCTACTTAGCTGAAAATATGTATAAGCAAAGGATTAGAAAGCCCTAAAGATTCAATGACATAAGAAACCTCAGTTCAGAGAATGACCAAGGTCAGATGCCAAGATATGGAACTTGACACCTTTGCAACCAGAAGCGGCACTACCAAAGCAGTTAGGAGAAAAACCTGGTGCTGAATAATGGTGACAACAAGAACTATTTAAGTAAGACCAAAATAAATCCTACATGTACAAGAAATTCAAGATATGAAAAAAGGGTATTTCTTTGAAAAGCATAAAAACCTAGTAAAACTGAAGTGTAACTTTTACCATTTAAATTTGTCATTAAAATTTATTATTCACTCAAGTAACTTTGAGAAAATACAGTACAATAATTTAATCTATACATCAAATACTATTTTGAGACAAAACTAAGGAGGAAATACATCAATCATGTTGCATTTTATGGACATTAGTGATTTTTTTTCATGTCACAATTGATAAAGACAACAATGTAAGAGAAAAAATGCTATTGTAGCTAAGCAGCACACACTTCTGCACAAGAAAGCCCCATAATTTCTTGAGAAATGTTTGAGGAAACATAATTTTGCCAATGAGCCACAACACTGCACGTTGACAGAATTAGTTTAGTGGTTATGATGAGGAAAAATCTTAAAAGATACAGTGATTCAGGCACATTGCTACGAGTTTAAAACCTTGGGTTCTGATTCTACCAGCTGTATTTCTTAATTAAGGGAAATTATTTACTTTGTATCTCAGTTTCATTATCTGTTAGATTTTGGTCATTAGCACAGTACTTCCGGCCTTCTGACACAAAAGCAAAAAAAAATAAAAATCAGCACCTTATTTTAAAAGAATGTGAAATCTTTGATGCAAAAAACCCCAAAAATTTAACCGCTAATCAGCGTAAAGTCCAATACATACCAGAAAAAAAAAGACAGTGTACACTTGATAATATTCTGTTCCCTTTTCAAATGTGCTTGCCTGTCATAGCAGATGGGAGCACTATTCATGAAAACAAGCTTTAATCCAAATTTATATATTTCTTAAATGTTTTCATGTCTTACTACTAGCATGCTTAGCTAGAGACAGGAAAAAATATTCTGAAAACATCAGCAAAGTAGTATTTCAAGTTCCCCCCTTTCCCCTTGAAAATACTGTGTTATGTATATGATACAGGCCAAGGAACTTGCACATTTATGAAGAGGACAAAACCACAACCGAGCTAAAGCAATCATTCCAAAACTCTTTTAAGGAAAGATATACAGAACATGCCACTCTGCCTCATGTACTAGCACTACCTAAGTTACAAGCTTTACAAATTACAGTATCCAATAGCAAATTGTAAAGAAATGAGATGCAACATTCTGGAGGTATGATAACAGAAAGAACTTTTTTTTTAAGCCATAAAATTAACTTGACAAAACACTTCTTTCAACACTTCAAAGCAATTTTTTGCTGGATAGTCCTCATCAAAGAGAAATAAATAATTTCATACTTAACTAAGGACTCAGATGTTATGGACAGCTATTCCAGCAAAACCAAACCCATTTGGACTAAAGGGTAATGGTAAAGGTATATATATAAACAGACTTTAAAACTTCTTATATATATATATATATATATATATATATATATATATATATATATATATATATATAAAATATATAAAAATAAAAAGTTGAATTTATATTTAATAAAGACATTTTACATATATATATATATACACACACATACACACAAAAATACAAAAAGCTTAAATTTTTTTGACCACTAAAAGACCAAACTAGCAACCACCACCTTCTTTTTCACAGTTAATGTCAATAGGAAGCTGAACAGCTTGTCTTTCCTTTCTAAAAGATGTTCAAAAACAAAGTAGGAGAAGCAATATTCCAGAAGAGTAAATCTTTCTCATGACAACCTCTCAGGAAAACTTAGCTAATCTTAAATTTCCCTATACAGGAACAAAACCTAGGTATCTTTTTACTGAGTGTTTTGCTTATGTACAGTACTGACAAGAACATCATGAAATGAACATTGGAAAGAAAAGCACAGAAAGAGTTCCTTTTTAGAATTCAATTTAAACTTTAAACTACCTTTAGCTAAAAGAAAAACCAGTAAGTTAAGGTCATTGCACTAAAAGCTGCTAATTTACCTTCAAATAAACTGAGGTCTCTTCGTAGCCTTGGTCCATAAAGCCCTTCTAAAATACTTTCAAAACCTGGAGACAAAAGAAACATTTAAAACAGTCAATCAAAAGTCTCTTCAAATAAAGCAAATTCGAGAGCACTGGCAAGAAGCATTCTCAAGTTCTGAGAGCAATCCCAAAAATTGTTAAATTTATGACACAAATATTTACTTCTTCCACTATAGTACTACTCAACAGAATTAGGAGTTAAAAATAAGACAAGGCAACTGCCATCTGCCCACAATCAGCCTATTAAGCCATGCCCCAACAACCTCATTAGACTTAAAATAGCTACCACAGAATCTTAAAGGTGGGAGGATTAGCATCATAGCTCTATACAAGTGAAGTAGTCTCTCTCTTACACTGGGAATCAGAGTCATGCATGGAGAGGTGAAAGAGGAAAAAAAAAAAAAGGAAACCTTCAATATCAGAAACTTCTCATTTATGATCTCCTGAAATTACATAATCTGAGTAGGCTAATATTCCTACAAATATAAAAAAGCAAGCTTATTTTGCTTCTGATACCATGACAGCACTCCCTAGTCCTCTGTATCCGTACAAAAACGTTTTAAAATTGAGGATTAGATAAATCCAATTATTTTCCAGATTTACCAGCTAGTCTGTTTAGGTATTTGGTAAATTTCACATACTGCAATAAGGGAGAAGAGACACAGAGCAAATAAAATGATTGGAAAAAACCCAACTAAAAACAACAACAAAAAAAACAAACCCAAAAAAGAGGTGCATGACAACTGATGAAATATGGTGACAATTTACATCATCAATATAACAGGAGTTTTGTTCAATACAGAAGCAGTTTCCAAGTGCCCCCCTTTCTCCTTCCAAATAATAAGCTTACTTGAAAATAAGAGGATAATTCAAAGCAGCATTTGAAGGTTCTCATTCCTTATACTAAAGGCCTGTCTGTATCATATGCGTAGCTATTTTACAGAACTTTGAAAGACTTTTTCTATCATCACACCACATAAAAGACACCAAAATCTTCAGGAAGCAACTACCATGAACAGAGAACATTTAGAATCATAAAATTTACTCATCATGTGATGCCTTTTAAGACAACGCAACATCCTGCTCTCTCATCAAAAGTTACATTTACTTTCTGGTTTAAACTGTATGCACACTAGTATAAGGAAAATAAGTATGTACAGTATCTTCAGTAAGAAAGGGAAGCTATCTTAACACATTGGAGCCGTTCGGCATGACAAGTCAGATTTTGTTAAAATTTGCATTATAAAATAATTTTAACATAGGGACTATATTTATATAATGAAATTCAATCAATTACAATTATACTCAATTATACAATTATATTCCTATGAGAGGACACAAATTAAATGTTAAACCTGCTGTCCTCTCACAAGTACATATGCACACATTTTTTATACAGTAAAAAAAACACAAAGCAAAAATCCAAGGCCCAAGCATACACTAAAATTTACCCTCAAGCATTATCCACTGACTCTTAGAATCAATGTAATACAAATTCACCTCATATTAGCATTGCACAAATTCCTCTTTCTTCTGACTTCAAGGTGTTATTGACAGAAAAAGGCAAGAGAGATGAAGTCTGAAGTTAAGATAGCAATTCTCCAGACATAACAGATTGGAAATATAAAACACACTATTATGCATTGCTATGATCAATAATGTTAAAAATTACAAGCCACTTTAGGTCAGCAGCTAGTTAGGTTCTGGCAAATTACTGTCACTGGGTAAAGAAACAAATGAAGCATCTCTTAGAGACAATTCTGCTTATTTCAAAAGAGTAAATACCAACTCCTATTTCTTAGCACTTTGTCAATCAAACAACAGGAAGGTTGTTTACCATCCCAGTCAGCATCCAAAACCTCCTTGCTCATTAGACACTTACCACCCTCCCCACCCCATGGAGGGTGTTACTTGCTTCTGCTTTTACTTTTGTCCTTATCTGGCCTGCCTTACTGCCTGCTCCTGTCTATGCAAAAACATTATTTTTTATTGCCCTGAGCAAAGGACACACCAACCCACTTCTCTGCTAATTCACCAAACTTAGTTCCATCCTGCCCAACTGCTTCTCTTCCAAGTCTTACAGAACTTCTCCATGGACCCACAACAGATTTACTCTGCATGATCATTTGCTTCCTCACCTTTGGATACTGGAGACCTTCTTTAAAAAGAACGTTTAGTTTTACAATCCAACAGAAGAATATCTTCTCCCACACCTTAAATTTTCCCAGAAAACACCTGTATTACTTCCACACTCCACAAAGTACTTCTGGTGCCTTTCAGCAGGATTGATACAAGTTTAATTTAGCCTAAACATGAGGACACAATCTTAGTTTCTAATACAGCTACTGATGAATGTGTGCTGGCACTGTTTCATAAAATGTAACCACCTCAACACAGGCATTTCAATAAACCTTTGTTCTCCTTCTTGAGTCAATATGCGTATGCAAACAGTAGTAGCAGTTTTGGAACTCTCCAGAACCTGAAGAGCCTACAGAGACCAGTCAGAAATACGTTTTGCTTATACCTCTCATGATTCACTAACTGAAAAAAATCTGCTCCAAATTTTACAGAATTTTCTGTCTCTTGGTGGTTGTGATTGCCTATCTGATTCCAAACTGCCTTTCAAAAGTATTACTTGAGATCTGATACTTCCTGGCTGTGAACTGAAAAGCAACACTCTTGGCTCTATTAACTTGCAATACTCCAATCTGCCACACTCCTATCTCTAATAAATTTCTTCTGCTGTCTTACTTCTCATATCTTCATATAGAAAGAATATGAGCTTTCTTCATTATCTGACACCCTTTATGATCCAAGACAGGTTCCTCCAAAAGTCTTCATAAGCAGAGATTTGTGATACAGCTAGTCTCTTAGTCCAATTACAAGTTTCCATCATTTGCTTTTCTGAACAAAAGTTGTGAATAGGTTTTTATCCCCTACATTAACTCTCACCCTGCCCCACCACCCCCTCTACCAACTCTACTCTTACCTCACAGGGACTCCCGGAAGCAGGGAGGATGAAGCTGTGATCTCCAGCAACAGGAAGGGGGCTCTCTTTTTCTATCGGTAGCTATTTGGTTGCTGCAAAGGTGAACAGCCCAGGAACAAGTTCCGTCAGGTTTGGCATCTAAGCCTGACCCATGGGCCAACAGCCAAGGTCACTAAAAGGAAGCAACAGGTGACAGCACTTGCAGAATCCCATGGGGCTTCTGCACAGCAGCTCAACTGGATGGCTTACAGATTCAGCCGTTTGCCTGTGGTCCAAACGTGGAGTGTTGCAGAGAAATTCTTATGGCAAATCTGGCCATTGCAATATTATCATTTGTTGCCCATCTACCTGGGCACTGTGATACTGCCAAAGGTGATCTTCAGCAGATCAGAGCTAACTACAGGAGCACACGGACAATGGTGAATGACACCAGGTGTCAATATAATAAATAACAGAGCCCAAGTGCTGATCCAGGGGGAACACTTTGTTAGGGCGAACACATCCTGTGGATCAACATCTGACTATGTGGCTGCAGGCAGGACTTCATCTCTTAAGACAGCTCTGAGAAACAGAAAACTTGAGCAAGACAGGATCCATTTAACTGTGCAAATCACTGCTAACAGCCTTGCCTCATAATGAGGTCTTCCAACCTAGGTTTGCCAGGAAAGTGGAGACTAAAGCCTAGAGAGGAAGAGAACAGCAGAAAGGGTAAATGCATAGGACAAGACACAATGAGGACCTTACAGTCTCCCTGAACAAGTGGCATAAGCGGGGACACACCTTAAGCAGCTGTATATGAATGCATTCAGCACAGGAAGCAAGCACGAGGGATTATAAAACCAAGCACATAATGATCTTACTGGCAGTACACAGTACAGTGAGACAGTTCACACAACTGCACAACTGCAGTTTAAGAAAGAAGTGAGAAAGTCAAGGACAGTGCTTAGACTTTATACAAAGAACTTGAACAAATGGAGTCTTAGTGTGGAATGGGCTAAAGGATAGTTGAAAATCTACAGGTGAGGATTCAACCAGGTGAACATCTGTTACAGACTTTAGAGACTGCCAATCAAGAGCAAAGAAAAAAGGCTGCACAATCACCAGCCTTAGCTCCCACGAAAAATCAATCACCAAGACATATGCTGGAAATGCAACATGGCAGTGAGGAACCTGAGTAGCTGAATAATTTCCCTGGACTTAGCGGTCACTGATTTACAACCCTCTCCCAGGACAGGGGGACCACAGTAGAACTAGAAGTAGGATGCTGTACTACCTTGTCTAAACCAGAGAAACGTTAAATGGGCCAAGGGCCTATGGCAACAGTTTTACTGAGTTATCCTACTAGTCAAAGGAATTGCAAAGCGAAGAGCAATTACCACTGCTGAGTAATTAAAAAAACAATACTTCGTGAATTGATTCCAGTATTTTAAGTGTCTCTACAAGTTTACTCAGATTTAAAACATAATTATTAAATCCAAAGGAAGCCTTCACAGCTTTAAAATAAAATCTTCTTAAAGAGAAGCTACCTTGCAGCTGCTCAAAGAACTTTAAGTTTGCCCTAATGTTTTATCACAGTAAACTGCTTAGTGTCTGAAACATCCTAAAAGCCTATCTACATTAGAGAGTGTATGCCACCATGCATAAACAGTACAGGCTGTAAAATTCATTGTAATGAATAAAACAGAGTAATAATTAAATAGATACATTCTATGGAAGCTTCCCAGATTGTGCAATTTATAAACACTTATAGGTATTAAAGGACACACAAGGACTCTTTTCTCACTGTATGACCAGATAGAGCCATTCTTCATTCTCCTCCTCAGCAGCAGCAGGAGCAGCAGCAGCGTGGCTGTTTATTACGAAAGCGGCTTCCATTCAGAAACTAGTAAAAAGCCCAGTGGTCCCTGTCTCCACAGAAACTATCAATATTCTACGTTGCACTGAGCCTAGAGAAAATCATGAAGTGCGCTTAGAAATTTTTAAACAAGGTTGGTCTAGGTTAATTTTGGACTGATGTAGCAATTGAACAATTATA